GGCCCTGTGCACCCCCGTGTGGTTTTTTGCGCTTACCGGCAACTGCTCCCGACTCCTTTTTGCAAGGCGCCGCCAGCATTTTTCCTCCCACCGGAGTGAGAGTACCCATTTATCTACTCACGTGAGAATCCTGCATCATATTTCAACTGTGAGACTGTCCAGTCCCAATCTGTCTCTGTCAGCTGGGAGCTTGGATAAAAAAGCCCACAACTATTTGCTCTTGGGCCCAGAAACAGGGATCAGATGGTGTGTCTATCATGTCTGTTCACTGAACACAACCTTACACAATGCCTGTGTGTCTGTATGTCTTCCCAGCTCCTGTTGTCTGAGTCTGGAAGCTCAGTGTGCAGTAGCCTTTTAGATGTCTCATTTTCTAAATCAGAATAGCTCTGAAGAATGAGAATGTATGATCATCTTAGAAATATTCTTCTAGTCCTGTCAACATGGTGGAGGCACAGTCATGCTTGATTACCTGGGAGAAGTTTGGTTTGTAACTTCTGAGGGACAACATCCTCAGGACTGTTAACCTGGCCACCTCTTTGTTAGATCTTTGTCCCTCCTGGCTTGTAAAGGCTGCTTAGGAAGTGACATACAGTACAGTTGAATCCATGTGGTGGTGTTGGCCTCTGAGAGAGGGGATAGTTCTGCTGGCCTTGAAGTAGGCAGTAGTGTGCCCTCTCCTCATCCTGGACAATTTTTGGGAAGGAAGCCCTTTATGTAGGTTTGTCTTCTGCACCAGTTGTACCCTTTCTTTGACCAGGAGGCCCTTCAGACGGTCACTCATGCCCTGGTCACTTCACAACTGGACTGTTGCCATGCACTGCACATGGGGCTGCCCTTGAAAACCATCTGGAAGCCACAGCTGGTTCAGAACACAGCAGCGCAAGCAGTAACTGGCACTACTTGTTATGCCCATTTGCCATTGCTGCTTTGTGAGCTGCATTGGCTGCCAGCAGGCTACTGGGTGAAATTCAAGGTGCTGGTTGTTACCTTTAAAGCCTTTCGTGCCTGCCTCTTGCCCTTCAGGGCTGGCTATCTGAGGGACCACCTATCTCCAGTTGTTTTTCCCCACCTGGTATATTTGGGTACAGTGTGTGCACTCCAATTCCTTCAATTAAATATTGTCATTTTGTGGGACTAAGGAAGCATGCCTTCTCTGTTGCTGCCCTCCCCTCTGGAATAGCATCCCCCCAAAATATGTATAGACCCACTCTCCTGGGGTTCTGGAAAGCCTTAAAACCTGGCTCTGTTCCCAGCCTTGGGGATAGTGTGCCTAAGGAGTCCTGATTGTATTTTTATCGGGTCTTTATTGTTTTTATTGGTATGGTTGTTTTTGTCTGGGCTCCCTTGTCTTGTTTTATGTGTTTTTGATTGTCTTTTGATTATTTGTTGGATATTGTAAGCCACCCAGAATCTTCTGTAATGGGTAGCTATAATGCGTACATATATACATACATACAATGAAAGTCTGGAGAGTGGACATTGCAGTACCTGGAGACAGCAGAATAGAAGAGAAAGAACTGGAGAAAATCACA